ATCATGACATCGGAGTCGATGGAGATCCACCCTATATTTCACGTGTCTCTTCTCGAGCCATATAAGACAGTGAATATCTTGGAAAGAATACAAATGCCACCTCCTCCTATAGAAGTAGATAATAACCAAGAGTTTGAGGTAGAAGAAGTCTTAGACTCAAGGTGGCACCAAAATAGGTTGGAATATCTTATTCATTGGCACGGATATGATATTAGTGAACATACATGGGAGCCATTAAAGAATCTTGTAAATGTAGCAAAGAAAGTTCAAGTCTTTCATCGACGACATCCATCAAAACCAAGATAAAGAATAGCAAACCTTTGCTATAAAAGAAACAAGATCAAAGAAAAATAACATTCTACCTTCTATCTTTCATTGCAGCTTCTGTGTACTTGTGATGAAATGGAGCACCAACAACTAGCAGATTCAACTCAAGTGCTTTCATTTGCAGACTTACTAGATGAGACATTGCGATTGTTACAACCTTCAAGATGATAAAATTGAGATGAAGATCCTCAAGTATGACATGTCCTTTCTCGAATAGATGGCGAGATATAACGTGTTTGGAATCACGACTTTGGAAGAGACTCTCGATGTTTAGTGATTTTATTAGAGGTAGAAACAACTCTTGACAGTGTTCCAAATATTTTATTTGAAGGAAGTTATAAAGGCCTCAACAATGACCAAATAATAAGGTGGTCTTCTTGCCCTGATATAAGACACTATAGATGGTTGAAAGGACCTATCAACCATCTTCGAAGAGAGCAAAGATCGGAGTATGTAGCAAATATAATTTGTCACATCTTTGACTTCCTTAACATATGAAGACCGCTCTTTATGGAACTCGTCCCTAGAAGAGGGAATAATGTCAAGAACATATACATTTACCTCAATAGTTACTTATATGATTAAGTAAAAGTAGGTAAATATAGAATAATTTCATAAAGTCTTCTAGAGAAGCTTCCTAAAAGCTTCATAGATGCAATTTTGACTTTAGATGTGTTTGTAGGTTAGAAACTTGGCCAAAAAGCTAACCATGTATTAGTAGCTTGTGGAAAAAGTTATCTCCATATAATAGCTTGTGGAACAAGCCAACTACGTGGCACATACATAGATAACTTGCCTTGCAAGATAAGACATGTGGCTAGTAAAGTCAATACATATTGGAGGTCCTATAGGACATCACCACATAGTTCTTAGTTAGATAGTATATGTGGAGGCAAGAGTGAAGCCTTCTTCACTCTTGTCAATGTGTTTTTAGTCTTAGTCTTGTTTCAAGACTTTCTAGTCTTTTTGTTTTTCGCAATAGCCATTCTAGTTAATATTACCTCACCTTTTGAGTAATTTTGTAGTTCTCTTAAGTGATAGAAGAGTGTATTGAGGATTCTCTATTTTCAAGATTCATGTCCTTGACACATAGCCAAGTGTCCAGTACAATCTCTAGCCAAATGCCATGTATTATGACATTGTCCTCTTTAGCAACCATGCTTTTCATTATGTGATTGTATTATTTTCTTGGATAATGTTGAGCAATGTGTTTAGCTTCTCCATAATATAAGCATAAGGTGTCATGATGTTTTCAAGTTTATTCTTGATCTATGAGAAATTTAAAATGTATCATATTAATTTGCATTGGTTTTGGCCTCGATAAATAAGTTTTTAAAAACTTGGAAGTCATTGTTGTTATTTGATTTATACTTTTCTAGCCAAATCTTTCTTCTTGACATCTTTTAAATAATTCATTGTCACATGCAATGGCTTGAGTAATAAATTATTATAAATATTCTACCTTTGGTATTGTTAGTAATAAATCTTTGACATTATCCTTCAATCCATATCAAAATTGATTGATAAAGGCTTTGTCATTCCAATCCCCATTCCAAGCAAAGTTTTGGAATTCAGCAACACATATGGTAGCTAATCGTGATCCTTGCTGTAAAGATAGGAGCTTGATTTATACTACTCTTTTTTGATCACTTTCTCCAAATGTGGCCGTAAATACTTTTAGGAATGAATTCTAATCGTTGGGGAATTGCAAATTTTTTTCTATGAAACTTAGACTTCCATAATTCACATTACAAATATGTGATATTTCTACTTTTAGAGTGCTGAGAAGCTCATGAAGATCTAAATTAGATACAAATCTATTCCCACTTCCATTGAGAGTAGTATCCATAATCTTTCATTTCATAGAAAACTCAAAAAAAATTCAAAAGTTAAATTAGAAGAAGGTAATTAACAACCTCTAATGAAAATTTCTACAAAAAAAGATAATCTATTCTCTTGAAGGAAAAGATAAGTGTTAGAAAATAAGATTTTTTGTTTAAAGGTGGGTAGTCCGCAACCTTCAAAATACAACAATAAAAGTAGAATAATCTACTCACTTCTAAAATAAGACAAAAATAATAAGTTAGCACTCTTATCAAACTATTAAGGATATGAATCTCAAAGAAAGAAAATCCTCAATACACTCTTGTGTCATTGAAAAGAACTAGAAAGTCACTCAAAGATGATATAATATTAAACTAGAATAATTATTTCCAAAAACAAAAAGACTAAAAAGGCTTGAAAGAAGACTGAGGACTACAAAGGTATTGAAAAGAGTGAAGAAGGCTTCACTCTTGTCTCCATATATGCTCTTAACTAGGAGCTACGTGGCAATGTCTTATAGGACATCCAAAATATGTTGACTTTGCAAGATATGTATCTTAACTTGCAAGGCAAGTTTTCTATATGTGCGCCACATAATTAGCTTATTCTGCAAGCTATCAATATGTGGTTAACTTATTGATTAAGTTTCTAACCTGCTAATCAATTACAAATATATATAGAATCAAAGCACCGTCTTTTAGACTTCTAGGAAGCTTCTTTAGAAGGTATTATGAAATTAATCTATTTTTATCTATTCTTACTTACTTCTATCTAATCATATAGGTATTTACTAGAATACCTATGTATATCTATGATATAGACACTCTTATACAAAAAAAAAATAATAATAAAAAAAAAATGCAATAATATTAAAATCTTTGATTTATAAAAAAAATAGAATTAATAATTTTTAACAAAATAGATAAAAATCATGTCTAACACCCTAGACTATTAATCTTAAAATCTTATATCAATAAATAAATATGTAATCTAATTTAAATAAAATACAATAGTGATGCTAAAAATGATTATTAAACCTTTTTGAAGATAGATATATGTGGTCAATAATTTATTTTATTAGTTTTTTAAAAGCCATATATTTAAAAAAAATAATATTATAAAAATAGAAGTATAAAATAAGATAAGATATTACTTATAATATCTAATACTTATAGATAAACAACATAAGATGGTGTGCATTGTTTTTAGTTGTAAGGACTTATCTAGATAAGTATATTTTCTTGTGATTGGTCTTTTATAAGATTCTTACATTTAACAATAGATGCCTTTAGATTGATATTTTTAAATCCCAAGAACCATCAATTTAACTTACTACAAAAATTCTTAATTTTTAGCTAAACTATTTGACTTTAATTATTGTTGTTATTTAATTACAAACAACTTACTCCAATAAAGACCTTTAAGTGGTGATTAGATTTTATTTTATTATTTATTAATATTAATTATAAATAATACCAATATTTTTTTATTTAATCAAATCTAAAATGTATATAATCAAATATAAAAAATATTTAATCAACTATTGTAGAATAATTATTTTTACTTAATTATTTTTTATTTAATATCTTTAATTTTTATTTTTTTTATAATTCATATGTTGATAATTGTATTTTTTTTACAGAATTCTATCATCTTGCTCAAATAATCATATTTTGATGCAAACACTATTATCCATACAATAGAATATATTCAATAGCCATTTCTAGTTAGTTTAAAGAAACCTAATTCTATCACATTATATACAAGAATAAAAAATCATGCACAATATGTGAATTGGGTAGGATTCTTATTCTTTTATCACAAAGTAATGCCTTTGATGAAAAAAAAATCAAGAAATACATCCTTTAAAGTGTTAAGCATTATACATTTATATTATCTTTTTTCCTTTTTTGACTTCATGGAGTATGATAAAAACCCTTTTCAGAGTCTCTTGTAGCAATAAAAACGTAAGTTTTGAACACATGTTTCACAATTCCCTCATAAACTTAGTCAAAACATGAACTACTACTCAATTCAAAAAAACTGTGGCATGCAACAATAAACCATCACTTCATCTCAGCTCAACTTCGATACCCTAACACCCTTAAAGGTTGGGTGTTAACAGTGTCGGACAGATGTTCCTCCGAGACGTGGCGCGGGGTTGACCTGCGATGCCGACTTTTGCAAGTCCACGCCTCCCCGCTCGTCGTTTGCCGACATACTCCCCCAAACAGTATCGTGGACCCCACGACAACCAGCTCCTGTCCAATTCCTCATTCTTCATCTACCAATGCGACGAGCACACCCCAGTTGCTTCAAAAACAACAAAAAAGAACGTATTTCTGGGTCTCAGGTCCTTGAACGCCATCTACTTGCCCCCCACTAATCAAAGCATCGGGTGTACCGCGGATATGTTAAAACAAAACACACACACAACAACAACAACAACAACAACAACAAACAGAAGCTCCAGGCCATCTTCATCCGAACCCTCTCAGAGGCAGCTGCATTGGCCTCTGCAGACATTGACTATCCACGTATCTACCGACTGTCTAGGCCGACTGAGCCAGCTGACTCGCCAGTCTAAACTTAGGTGGCTTATGAGTGAGCCGAGTGTTCATCGGAGCCAATCGCAGCAAACGGGAACAACACTTGTAGTCGGCAGCAGTGACTATCCCCAGGACACGATGATTTGGGCGATGATGTCGGCGATGATTTGGGCTTTTCAATAAGCTGTGTTTGACGATTCAATCTCAGCTGAACTGAATGATTCCAACGTTGTCGTGGGTCTCAAGTTAGGTGGACAATTTGACCTTACTCTGGCCCAAGTCCTTGTATAAATCACAACAAAGATAATCCCTCAGGCACCTGGCAAGAAGTGACAGATAATTGTACTTGGCGGTAACACACACTTGCAGCAAGGTTCCAGTTACCTATTACGATGAGGACCCGGCTAGTCTGGCTTCTCGTAGCGATTTTTAGTCTAGTTTGTACCCCGAAAGGCCCGCTGGTGATGGTCTGCGCGGTTGGCGATGGTGCAAAGTATAATGATCAGAAAGAACAGGAGGTCATGGCGATCGCTGCTGCTGCTCTGGCAAACCAGGGCAACTGCTGTAAGTGTTTTCCCCTTCTTTCAATGCCCTACGCCTGGCATAACAGCAAGGCGAGGAAGTGTTGCACTAACCTTGTAGATGCGTTCTGTTGTCGATGGAAGTGATCATGATCGAAGAATGTTTCAGGTGTAGTGCAGTTGATTAAAATGTGTTTTGGCACGTACTGCAGTTTTGGTTGGCTCTTGTAAGTCGGATTGTAGCCGAGCGGTGTGCCGTCCGCAGAAGGAAGATCTTCAAGACTCCCTTTGCACAAAAGTGGACAACAATGAGTATTGTCCGCTATCCAACTCAGTATCCAACGCCAGCCAAGGCTGTCAGCAGATGATGCTGAATTACAAGAAGTCCTACATAACGTGAGTCATGTAGCAGCTTGACTCCTTTGCATTAAGTGGTCTGGCTGAGAACAAAATAACTGCGTCGATGCCCACTCTTTGAATATCTCCAGTCCGAAAGCTATGGGCCAAATTCGAATCTTAATGATGTTGCATGTGCAGGCTTCCTCCGAACACGGACTTCCAAAATCTTCCCACCGAGATCACCCGAGACGTTTGCCTACAGCGGGCTCTGGACTCCACATTCAAGACCATATCCTTCCCCGACAACTTCTCCTATGTGTACTTTGGATCCGTATCAGGCGCTTGGAGAGCATTTCCTGGAAGAGACTCTACAGAGGAGCGATGCAACTCCTTTGACAGCCGCTGGAGGCCTTGGTTCTTGGATGCCATTTCGGTATCGAAGCAGCTGATGATCCTCGTGGACACTGGAAATATGATGGGCACGAGTGTAACCGGGGAATTCCAACGGCCTCTCGGAACTACCTACTTGGACATTGGAATCGACTTAGCGGTTTCTCTGATCCAGACTCTGTCGCCAGGAGATTTCGTGCAGGTATGGCCTTTCAACAGCAGCGGCGCTAGCCCTCTGGGGCCCGCTATAAACGTAGGGAATTACGATGATTCCGGTGCCCGTTCGGAGTTGATGCCCTTGAAGGATAGCGTGAAACGATTGAAACGGTCAGACGACCCACGGCCATCGGACCTCAACGACGGAGTGATCAAGGCAGTTTCCAGTTTTAAAACTACCGGATCTAATTCTTTGAAGGTACTTAAGATTATTTGCCGAGAGCATATCATTTCTTTTAAAAGGGACACTGTTTTGTGATCCATCTACCATCAATCCCCGTGAGAGGAAGTGGTCAAGTTCTTCGTCAACTTCATTTGAGAAATCTGATGCTTGCATAGTGGAGATGTCACAGTTTTCCTCAATCCACGGCCGTAGATAAGTAGAAACATTCATATGCCCTGATGATCACATCCTTGCTCTTGCAGTTGGTGGTTGTCATCAGCAATGGCAATTTTATTCCGTTGAACACAACAACATTTCCAACCGCAGTCATAAGGCAGAACAAGACTAAGTTGCTTGTGTACAAACTCCCCGTAAACTCCGATTCAGATCCAACCTCAGATCCGTTCTTGATCAACACCACCCTCCCCTCAGTTTTGTGCGGTGTGCAAGGATCATTTGAGGTCTTGGAAGCACCAGCTACCGCGAACCCTCTGTACGCCTTGAGAGGTTATTTCTCCTTCTTGGCTCAGACACACCAGGATGCTGTCAACTCGAAACCGACGTGGAGCAATGTTTACAGGAGCGTGGCGCAATCACTTGACGCCGTTACCGTGACTGCACCAGGTAAAATAGGATTCATAACTCTTCTCTCCAAACACCACCTTCCAGTCTCATGGTCTTCTGGAGCAAAGTTCGACGGAAAGGTTGACTTAAATCGTGGCTGTGGTGGTGTTTTTTTTAGCGATTGACAAGGACGGAAGGTTGGTTGGAGTTTCTGGAATCGATGTGTACCTGAACCAGCTGGAGGGTCAGTTGCGAGCATTGGTGGTTTCAGATCTTGCAAGTAGAAGACGAGGGACCATTCAACCTCCTAATAACCTCACCCTGGTTTGCAGCTATCAGGTACTTGGCTTCTCATAAAATAGCCATTCACAAGGATATGAGGAATTGGAAGGTGGAGATATGCGGGTAGAATTGAACAATTCCGCTACTATCATAAAAATAATCTTCAAATATCATTCGAAGTCCTCTTCAATCATGACCTCCATGTCATCAGTTTTATCATTATTTCTATCACGTCTACCTAATTGAAGTTCGTCAGTAACCGGTTTTGATAACGTGATCATACGAGAATCGGCTTGACAAACGTACATGAACTACATTATGTGTTTCAGGATAGCTCAAAATCTGTCGCTAACATACATGGATTCATGCCGTGAAATTATGTAGTCTAAGCTTGTCTTTATTTCGTTGGTGCAGAATCAGTCGACCGTGGCAGCGGTCTGCCCGTCGAGCTCGCTGCCATCCGATGGTGTGACATGCCCGAAAACAGACACCAGGAATCTTGCTGAACGTGTTTGCTGTGGTAACTGCGTACCTCCTCCTCCACCTCCATTTGCATGGTGGAAGATTTTGCTTATTTTTGTGGGGGGATCGATCGGAGTGTTTCTTCTAGTGTGGGCGTGCGGAAACTGTTACTATGGAAGCAACAAGAAGTTCAAGCAAGCAGTGAAGTCTCGATTTGCCTGCTGCTTCTGCTGGCGGACAAAAGCACTCCCTGGTGCAGACGTAGGTGGTTTAAAGACGCCTGCCCAGGTAGCCTCAGTGTCTGTGACTCAGTGTAGTATTAGGAGTAAGTAGCAAGTTACTCAGGTTCTACAGTGTAGAGTAGTTTTACAGCCGAGATGCTTAAGAATCTCTCCAGTCCTATGGGCTTGCAGAGAGGTGTTGTGAAGCATGAGGGATGGTAGCTGTAATATGTGAGATATTTAGTATTGTAGAATAAGAATTTTTTAGTCAATATTTTCTTAATTCTGGCAAAATTCTGGCGAGTTGATTGTTTGTTGAATTAATACCCTGAGCATCAGATCGTGCGGTTTTTCGTGTGCGCTTAAGCGGTAGATGAGAATGGATTCGCGATTCCCAGTCGTACCGAACTGCCGCGTATAATTTGTGAGTTTTCAGCGACATAAAAGTGTGAATATTAAATTACATGTTTTGTCATTCTTTATAGTGGTGTAGCATTCTCAAATATCATCATGCTTCCTGTTTAAGCTTTCCGTTAGAATCCTGAGTTCAGTGAGTTGTTGCCAACTGCGGTTGAGAGGCATGGGTATTCCGGATTTAGAAGGATATAAAAAGCACTCGCAGAAATTGTAGAATGACGAGGCGATGAAAAAATTTCTTTTATTTATTTCGTCAAATGATCAGTGAGCAGATGCAATTTTGCAACATCCTCCACCTCAAAAACAAGAACCCAAATAATTTGTGAAATATAAGCTTAACCTCACGGTCTCAAAACCCCACAGTAAAAACTGTTGGGAGAAAATAGACGGAAAGCTAATCTAATCTCATCCCGAATTAACCTCTTGTTGCGAGGTAATCTAACCCTTCTCAAAGTGCATCTCTTGATACAAGAACCCACCTTATCGCAAGGTGCAACTTCGTCAAACAATTTCTCAAATCATCCGCTGAACGATGGAATCTACATTCATGACAAAGGAAGGGATTTTAAACACTATTGTAATACTCATGCCCTGAACATGTCTTCATTTTTAACTTGCTTCTCAGCAACTAAATTATTCATTCCGTAGGCGCAAATTCATCAACATGATTATTCTGAGAAAAAGCATGAATCCTGTGCATAGCTCACTCACCAGACTTATTCTGATACGTTGCATTGAGGTTGTTGGCACTAGAAGCATAACCCTTCAAGCAGCTGTCCATGATGTGTAATTGTCTTCACGTTAGTCCAGAGAATCGGACATGATCCTCTTTTAAATCCCTACTCTACTGTTATAGGATTTCTCCCTGAAGCTGGTGAAAGAGACAACTCTCCCTGTCCCAATTTGGCTGGTACGTATTGGCATATTCGACTCTCAAGTGGAAAAAAATCCTCTACACCTACAAGGCTTTGGTAGAGATCTTAAAGACTACAAAGAACTGACACTGCATCTCAACCAAAAATTTGACGTTAAATTTGGCAAGTACTTCGATGATACCAAATAAGCGAGTTTTTGGAGGACTGCACAGGCCCTGCACTGCGTAAACAGCTTGACTCTCTGGGAAGGATATCATCTGGTGTGACAGAGGAATCAGAGGCCATAGAATTACCAGATAATCTGGGAGGTAAAGACCTTCCAGTCAAAGGCTTCACACACAGGCTTGAGGAGGCCACCTTAAGTTTTCTTTTCTCATCTGAAAATCCCATTGCGTGCATAGAGAAGGCCAATTCGAATGCAGCTATGGCGCAATGAGCAAATTGAACAGGGGTCGTACCAAAAAGAGTTGATGAAGTATTTGTAAACGAAGCTGGTCGGCCTGAATCAGAAGTTTCTTTAGTCGAGACATTCGACGCTTAAGAACAGTTCGTAAGTCACTCTTGTTGGACCTACTTGAGGACCCTAACTGCAATACTGCCGCAAGCACATCTTTGTCGCTAACAAGCATCTGCAAGATATCCGGCACGGCACTTCAGTATAAACAAAGTCATTCTGATCCTTGAGGCAACCATTCCTTGACCGGGCTAGTTTCTAGTACTTGAGTCGCCACTCGAGGGGACCAGGATGCCACAATACTAGGTGTTTTCAACTGCAACAACGAAAGAGGCGCCAAAAGCTCATCTGTATAGTCGCTAATTTCTTGGTCAGTTTTTTCTCTTCTTCACGAGCATGTTTCTGAACATTCCGTAGGTTGACTATCTGCTTGTCGGATAACACTGATTCTGAACGCCCCAATTTGCTAATTCCGTTTCTAAAACTCCGAATCTGGTCATGTAGCTGCACTCCCATTAGAGAATACACCAACATCAAAGCGCATGATGGCCTCCATCCACCCAGCCACATGAAAGATGCCTCCATACCTGTGACTCTTGCACCTGAAATTTAAAAATTTTGAAAGCCAAAATTATGAATTCATAATTTTTGTATTTTACAATTAATCACTCGTTTAACACAAGACTTAAAATGCGCTTTCAATTTGATCTCCTGCAAAGTGTATCCAGAATCACAAGCATTGTACAATACTCTAGTATACTAATGATGACACTCTTTCATTCGATACACGCAAGTAATGGGTCACGATGAAACAGGCAAATCACCTGAAATGGTAAGAAAAACGTTCGCGTTCTCTAAAAGAGAATGATCGTGGATGTCAGCCATATATAAAGAAACACATTTGTGCAAGGGCTCTTCGACGTCTCTCTCTTCAACCTTGGAACGCACCAAATCCCGTACAACACGAACGTGTGGTTCACAGGCCATCCACCAGCGACCTTCGTCCATATTAACTAAAAATACGATTCAAGTATGCTCCACCTTTTACAATGAAAATTGAAATTTCACAAACTGCCAACTTGATTTTAACACACAAATCGATTACACGACGTGTGCACTTGTATGAGAAGCTTGAGCGTACAGTACTTCCTAAAACTAAGGGCCGTCCTCACAAAGATAGAGTCAAAACCAAATGTGGCAGCAAATGAAGCTAAAGGGAATCATCAGAGTACCACTCACAGAGACAACCATGGAAAATTTCGAGAACAACCTGCGCCACCGGACCTAACCACCAGACCATGAGAAATTCCCACACTGAAAACAGACCAAACAAACCATGGAACAGAGGACTGCGAAGGTGTACTAGTAGCGAAGGGCGCGGTACAATTCAAAACTCCGTATCACACTCCAGCTAAACCCCACAACGCAAACCGAAACAGACGCCACGAAATGTCGCACCGATCATACTCTTTCCTTCTCGAAATCCGCCAGGAGCAAAATCAATCACCTCTACTCAGAAAAAGATCTCCTATCCAATCCCCTGCCAACGAAATTCCCTCAAAAATTAACACTACATCCTATATATATATATATATATATATATATAATTAATAAATAATAATAATAATGATAATAATAAAACTAAATCCGCTAAACACCGATTCAGAAACACTTGGAAAACCACCGCTCAAGCACCGACCAGGTCAAGAACCGAGCCCATCCTAGAGAGATGATCACGTAAGGGCGTCACTCCTTGAAGCGGCAAACAGCTCGAATAGTTAGCAACGCCCCCACCAATCTCACAACTCCAATTCAATGCGTTCAGCTCAGCTCAGCGAGAGAGCTTGATTCCGAGAGGACACGATGAGAGGCGAAATTGGTGCAGAGAAGGGGAGAAGGTGGGCGATTCTTCGAGCATTACGAGATCGGAAAATGCAATATCACGGGCAGCAAAATTCAACAACAACAACAGTAAGCCTTGAGACGAGACAAGCAAGAGAGTGGGAGAGAACGCAAGGGAACGGAGAGGGAACACAACTGGGGAGCCGGTGGGAACAGGACCCCTCCGGGGCTGGACGGTATCACGTGGCTGGGTGAGGGACACGTGGTGATATTTGGGAGGGGTCGTCGTGGAGATACCGATGAAAAGCGCGGAAAGGGGCGGGAGATATTTTGTTGTCTTTTGGAGCTCCATTTTGTTTGTTTGTTGGGTAGGTGGATGGGATGCTGACTGGCGGTCTGGCTGCCTGCCTTGCTGGCTGGCTTTTCATTCATTCATCTATTCATTAACTAAATGATGAAGATATATATATATATATATACATACATATAAGTATGATTTTCCTTGGAATCATGAATTTGGATTAATATTAATATTTTTTATCTTTATTTTATTCAATTTTTCTTTATTAAGATTTTACACATCAAATTTTGAAATACATATTTGTATACTTAAGTATAACTATGTATGCATTGAAATAACAGATGCAATACATTAAACTGTGATGTGCTTATGTAAAAATTTATGATTTGGTTGAAAAAATGCAATTTCATTTAATGAGTATTTTAAAAATATTTTTGAAACAAAATTGATTTTTTTTTACATATATTTTCGATTTTTTTAAGCACCAAAATTTTATTGTATATTTACATTATCAGTAAAATGTGTAATTTGATATTTATATTTGACATATGTATAATGGGAGGAACTCCAACCAAATAATAATCAAATGATATCAAATATAATATTATTTGATATTATTCTAAAAAAATTTAAATAATATTATCAATATTATAAATAAATTAGATAATTAATTTTAATATTGAAAATATTATTTAAATTTTAAATTATCCAATAATTATAATTATCAGAAATTATCAATTATTGTGTAATTTGTGAGTGTGTGTGTATATATGTATATATAAATAATTCTTTATCAAATGTGTATTATTCCAGTTCAGTAAGGATCTTTTTTTGTACACATATTGTTGATATGTTTTGTGTATTTTAAGCTAGGATTAAATTGGAATGGGGTTATCTATGTGATCATAAGAACCTATTCGATTTTTTTAACAAATAATCAAATAACATTATTTGCATATGTTAAAATAATATCAAATAATATTATAAATTCAAATTAATAAATAATTTATAGTGTTATAATTTAAATTAATGTATTTTATAATAATTATATAATATCAAAAGTATATTTACATATATATATATATTATATATATATATACATGTATATACACGCACACACACAGAAATGAATGAATAAGTTGCTGATCTCAATTAAAAGCATTATTGTCATGATAAGGGAAAAAGAAAGTCAAAACATGAATGCTAAAGTATTTATACAATTGGAGGCTCACTGTTCACAATTTGTTTTTGATGATGCACAACAGTAGCTCTATAAAGTAAAATATGCTTGAATTAGACATATCACATACAAGTAATAAGAAGAAAACAAATTACTAATTCAGAGAACACTTTAAAACATGAGGGTTTGTACCTTTATTGAACTCATACAGTATGTGCAATTATCAAGCTTAGGTGGGGGCAGGAGCCAAAACCGACTGGCATAAAACATCAGACATATGGGCCTCTCAAAACAGCCGCAACTGTGAATGGGGGGGAACAACAAGGACTCAATTGGGTAAGAACAGGAGCATCAGTACAATACCTCGGATTCCTGATAAGATTTCATATGCCCCCAGCAGAAACTGAAGCAAAGATCTTGTGCCAAGTCACATCCCAGCTCATTAGATGGGGCTCCAAAAAACTCTCACTAGTAGGAAGGGTTATGATCATAAACCAAGTTATCTTAGCTTCCACATAGTGCAAGAATAGAGAGTAAGATCTTCAAGCAAATAAGATCCTTAGTGCAAAATTACCTATGGTCAGGCATCACAATGGGTTCTATACGCGCCAAGGTCCGATGGTCAACAGTAATACAACCCCTAACACAAAGAGGACTCAAGGTGCTTGATTTAGAGATGCAAGCTAGAGCACTCTTAACCAAATTAATCATGTGGTTTGGCTCTCGGCACCAAACCGTAGAAGATTATATTCCGCCACAAAATTATAGAAACAAAATATCCCAAGGATGGAGAATGGTATCAAAGCCCGCATTGTCTCATGGATCACAAACTGTTGGTTGTACAACAAGGCTCTCATTTATGGATTAGCACAAGGCACGCTTGGCAAGAACTGCAACCTGGACTATAACAAACTCCTCCAAGGTTTAGAGATGAAATCATGCGGCAACCATTATTCTAGAACAGATTGATTTGAGCCCTTGAGGGAAACTCATAGGGCCACCATACGACTGATTGCTACCACCTTTGGACAAACCACGGAATCCGCACATGTGGGGACCTCTGGAACACAAATACATAAGAGTGGCACAACATAGACATCCTCAGATGAGTAACATGTGGAAGATTAGTAAAAGTACAACGAGCTAAAATGTTAAAGTGCATCCCTTGGCGCCCAAGAGAAGCTCACCCCTATGCTGCAGTAGAATGGTGGACGACGGCATAGGAAGCCCCATAATAGAGATCTTCCACGTTCTTAGCATTGTTGACGAGATCCTACACAGAGACAATATACAGTAACCGAATCCGAAGAGTTAACCCTCGTCAGTTCGGGCCCAATTCTCATAGGAGACAAAGAAGTTAAGAGAGCACGGGTCATAACCAGGAGAGACTCAAACAGAGTTTTCACAACATACAATCCACTAAGACAACCAGACACTAACACCACAATGTGGCTAGTTGAAGATACTCCAATCCAAAAACTTAAACTAGATCCTGCAGAATAGAACTGGAAACAACACGAGACGTCGTCCATCACCAATTTATTCAACTACACAACCAAATTGGAATACCGGCTTCAAAACCAAAGGAATACCACTCCTCAAAAAGGCAAAGCCATCCTAAGGGCTCATAATTTCATCAAAAAGTTCTACAACAACTTATGACACCCCTGGCTTCCTAAAAAAGTCTCCTCAATGAGGTTGCTAGTTTTTGTTGGGGGCATCTCAGTAGGTGCCTTGCATCACGTGATGCAAAAAGATGGAAATTGCTCCCTCTACAATAATAACACTATGAAAATTATCACCCATGCATTCTGGGAATGCCCACATATAAGCAAGGCTTGGAATAGATACAACACTCTCCAAGATACAGCGCGACTCAACTTCCTTACTAGCTGGAGTGACGTGCTTTGTGGCCCTCTCAACCTCGACATAACAAATACGATAGAGCTTTCACATTCCGTCAAGGTCTCCTCGGACACCCTTTGGATGATATTACGGAAACTAATACTATGGAACATAAGGTATAACAAATGCTCGTTTGACGTGGACCAAGGGCCCTATCACACAGGACTAGTTTTCTACAAAGAGTGGAAGACCACAATCCACATCGATATGGATGCTTGGAAGGAGCTACAATGACACACCCAATCAGCAAAACTACAAGCAGACAGAAATCGAAAGTTCACCGAAATATGGACAATTAGAGCTATCTTCGCAACAACACAGAACATGGACATTACCTAGCAAATAATTCTCCCACTACACTTGCTTCCCGAAGAATTGGCACGACATCCAGGCGACAAATCACGACTTCCACCACGCCACATCACCAACAGCTCCACAAAGCCACCTCAACAAGTTTTCAATACCCCAGATATGAATTCAGCTACCAACATTGATGAAGAACTCCAACAGGATATATACCATCTCTTTGCAGAAATCGAACAAGAAAGTGCCAAAGGACTAATCGCAGATACACCCACGATCGCACCACACTTCTACAATGAAACCCTCTCCCTCGAACAATGACTACTCCACTACGCCAGGCATCATCATACCAACACAGCACTCGACCTATACCTACACATCTTTGCCGTAGTGGCTGACACTGATATTACAGATGAAGACCTCTTTAGATCAATAGAGAACACTTATGTAAGCAGACATGAATGGGGAGAACGCTTAGCTACAGAAGACTCCCATAGCACAGATACTCACAAAAGCAACGAAAATCAGTATGTAGAAACCGGAACATAATTTAGCATTAGCTATAGAATCATAGATTAACAAAACCCTGGAATCTCCGAGTCGAGGAGAAAAATTAGGACATCACAAAACATGCAAGGAAACTTGCACAAATACTACGGTGCACCCCGTTTACAACAAAGATTAACAGTCCCAAAGACTTTTAATCGGTTAATTTCCACAAGTTACTTACCCACTAAAACATGGCTAATACAATATTAGGATACTAAAACGGAAGGCCTAATGGCAAAGGACAAGGGCGCTGCACCCTCACAAGGGAAACATCGCTTGAATAACCAACCAACGCCCACTCGAGTAGTAACCTTGAACAGCTAAGAGCCCTGTTTTCATTTAGGTATAGCCCCGAAGTAAGTACCACTAGCCCGTCGCTCGCGCAATTCAATCACCCATTGGTGAACATTGCACCTCAGTCAAAGTACAACCTTGATACTCTACAGATTATCTTTTCTATTGAGGAGCTTCAAATCATCAAAGCGATTCGCAACAAGGCAATGCAGCTTACAGTCATCGGTTATGTCACAGGCAAAAGCCCAACACAACTAGCCCTAAAACAATGAGCGGCCTCTGTGCTCCACGAAACAATGGAGACCTGTACTATAGTAGGCAGCACCTTCTCCAAAGTCACATTCTCAAGCCTAGAGGGCATTCAGTACACTTTCAACACTCCAGTTAGCTACGAAGGTAAGGAAATCTCTTCACCTCTTGAACTCCATTCTTTTCAGTACAGAATAGAGAAACGTACAAGTTCCTTGCATATCAAATTTGGGTTCAGTTCTTAGCACTAAGCCAATCACAGGATCAAGAGGTATCATCCACCAATAAACAAAGTCAATTGATAAACAGAGCATACGATACACCCACAATGTTGAGGGGCGACGACCCACCTCAACAAGACCAATCTTTCATCATACACCACATAGAAGGATTCCAATTTGTATGGAAGAAGAAAGAACCGGGGGAAATCCACCCCCCTCTCAAACCAGCACCCGCAGACCCTACAGAAGACATGGACTCACAAAAAAGGGGACACCAAACTATGACACTACCAAAAGAATTCTTCGAAGCAATACCATTCATCCCACAACTAAGCACACAAACCGCAAGATGTAGGGTATTTTCCATACTTTTCAAGACAGCAAGGAAAAAATATTGGACCAACAATTCTACAAAGTCCTTGTCAACCTCAACACCTCCAAAAATTAGCCGATAGCATATAGTGAAGTATCAATCTTGGAGAACCACATACAATGGGCATGCACACAAGCAACGACATTACTCCTCCAGGAAACAGCGATGGCACTCTCAAAGGTCATTGTCAATACACACAACACCAAAAATCTTTTAAAAAAAATGAGAGGATGCAATATGGAGATACTGGTGGGAGAAAAATGAAGACATGGTGACACACTGCGTATGCGTGGCATTCATCCCAGTCACGATCAGCACACTTAGACTTCAATACCCAGAACAACACATCTGGATCTCAATGCATATTCATGTAGACCACACAGAAAGGGACATTAGGACCACTTCCAGCCTTGGCCAAGACAGCCACACAAGCACTCTTGAAAAAAAATCAGTTCAAGGAAAACCTCTCCTTCCAAGATTGAGAGAAGAAGGAAGAAACAAAAAAAAAAAAAAAAAAAAAAAACCCAAATCCATCAATTAGCAGGAAGAAATGCAATTGAGACACAAAAAAGACACTATTGTAGAAGAAGGTTAACCTAAGATCATTCCACTATAGGAATATCATTACAACATCAATGATTGCATGTAGTGGATGAGCCAACTCTAATTCAAGGGAGGCAAAAGATTCTAAAATAATATAACATATTCTACAGAAGGGGGCAAATACTTGGAGGACATAGCCACTTTGATATCACACAAGTCCACATGTATTTGGCACTATGGTATCATCATAGAATCTCAAGTATAATTTGTAGTCATAGAATCAAAAGCCAAATCCATTGGAATCCTAAACATATATGTACCAAACACAACATGATAAAGGGCTCAATTGTAGAACGTGCTAAGCCATCATCTATTCCCTCCAATTTCCTAGATTGTAGGAGGGGATTTCAACATGATGGAACTACTTACAAATAGAAGCATGAGCTTTAATATACCATACATGGACCGAAAAAAACAAGCAATATGGACTAGCTTCATAATGCACTTGGACATCCTTAACACATTTCACATGGATTCGTATCAATAAATTAATATGAAATGATTCACATAGTAAAAACAAAATCCCACAACCAACTAGTCTTGAATAGATAGATTTTATACAGGCTAAGAATTCTATAATTAAATAGATATATTATCACGGACATACTCATATAAGCTAATAATTACATATATAACTAGGTAAAAATAAGTTAATTCTATAATATTTAATATGGAAGCTTTTTAGAAGCTTCGTAGACGTTGCTTTGACTTCATAGGTGTCTTTAATTGACTTTTTGGATTAGAAACGTGGTCAACAAGTTGGCCATGTGCCACACATGTTGTTAGCTTCAAGATCAAGCTAATTATGTGGCCCACACGTAGAAAAACTTGTCTTGTAAGTCAAGGCATGTGTCCTACAAAGTCAACACATATTGGAGGTCCTATAGAACGTCGCCATGTAGCCCCTAGTTAGATAGTATATATAGAGACAAGAGTGAAGGCTTCTTCACTCTTGTCAACTCCTTTCTTGCTTCTAGTCTAGTTTCAAGGATCTCTAGTTTTCTTGTCTTTTGGCAATAGCCATTCTAATTTCTATTTTAATATATATACTTGTTTATATATATTTTGTTACCTCTCTTTGAGTGAAGGCTCACTTGTCTGAATTGTTTTTTCATCAATTTTTTATCCTGGACAGATTGACAAGAGTACACCTACAATATCAAAGCTTTGTCTAATCTTAATTAAGAGTGGATTACTCCTTTTTCTTGATAAGATATAAGGATATTAGAAGTTATGGATTACCCTCTTCTAAACTGATATTGTCCATAGTATTTTCTTTGTTCTCAAGTCCTCTCTTCTATTTATCTTGAGCGATATTAGAAATCTTCTCTTTTCTAAGTGTTATCATGGCAGAACTTGTTGAAATGAAGAATGCAATGGCACAAATGCAAGAGCAATTGAGGGAGTTAATGCTTGCAATGCATCAACTCAATTTACCACCACAAGGAGCAACCAGATTGGCAGGAAGTGAAGATATAGAAATGGTTGGAGCTGCTTCAACATCTGCACCAAACCATGTCCTTTCTCCTATGGTGGAACGTCTTTTCAATGTTAGAGAACCAAGAATTGTCCTACCCGAGAAGTTTGTTGGTACCAGATCCAAGTTTCGAGGATTTATCAATCAAGTGCAACTTATGATTGAACTTCAACTCCAAACCTATCCAACTCCAGGATCGCAAGTTAGATTCATTGGTACGTTTTTTTCAGGTTCAGTACTATCGTGGTTTTCATCTTTTCTTGAACGACGAGATCCAATATTGGATAATCTAGAGGCTTTTCTGGCAGAGTTTCGATCCATGTATGGAGAACATGATGCAATTCGTGTTGCAACCAATAAGATCCATATTTTACGATAAGGCAATCGATTAGTAACGTTGTATGCTTCACAATTTTGACAACTTGCAACTGATATCAAGTGGGATGATGGTGCACTTATTAGCCAATTTCTCTATGGATTACAATATGAGGTAAAAAAATTAATGCTCAACTTACTTGATCCTCAAACATTGAGTCAAGCAATTAACTTTGCTGTGAAGTGGGACAATTACCTTTTTGAATTCCGATTTGAGAATCGTACAAGTGGACCTCAACATTACTATAATTCAATGGCAACACCAACACCTCTTTAACACATACATTCGGAAGTAGAGGATATGCAAATTGATGCAGTACGTTTCAAACCTCTTACTAAGCAAGAAAAGACTCGTCGTCGTCAAGAAGGATTATGTTTATATTGTGGAGAACCAAAGCACACTGCTCAACATTGTCCAAAGAAACGACGCAATCACAAAATAAGGAGTATGGTTGTGAAAGAAGATAATATGTCGAAAAACGAGTTTGTCCAGCTACAATAGCGACTGTGCGGCTGGAACCTTGCACAACATCTAGTAAAGGTCCTATTCTCTCCTCAGAGCCCTCTCCTTGTTTTACATTAAATATTATTTTAGAACCTAAACATTACAAAGTCTCTATCTTGTTAGATTCGGGAGCCAGCATGTTTTTTACATGAAGAATTTACTAAAAGACATAGCATATCTTTAATAAAGAAAACTAAACCTATTTATGTAGAAGTCATAGATGGTTGTCCATTGTCTTCTAGAGATATTATTCACAAAACCCTTCCTATAGAAGTAATAATCAATGGTCATAATAGTTTTGTAGTATTTAATATCATTAGATCTCCCTCTAATCCAGTCATTTTAGGTTTATTGTGGTTAAAAAAATACAATCCTCAAATAGATTGGATCTCCCAAATTCTTACTTTCTCTAAAAGTATAACTAACAGTGTAGTTAATCAATTAGAGAGTCATAAGTCTAGTTCAATTAAACCCGTATTTATAGGTGCAAAAGCTTTCTTGCATGCTGCTATGAAAGAATCACCATATATTATTTATGCCACACCTGTTCCTACTGGTGGAAAGACTTCAAGTGGCATTCCAAGCCAATATCAAGAATTTTAAGATGTATTCAAAAAAAAGAATGCGGATACACTCCCGAAACATCATCCCTATGATTGCTCAATTGACCTTCAAGAAAGAGCACAACCACCATTCGGACCAATCTACACTTTATCACAAAATGAGTTGATAGAGCTCAAAGAGTATATTGAAGAAAATCTAGCCAAGAATTTCATACGCCATTCTAAATCTCCGGCACGAGCTCTAATTCTATTTGTGAAGAAAAAAGATTGATCATTGCAGATGTGTATTGATTATCAAGGACTCAACAAGATTACCATCAAGAATAGGTATCCACTACCTTTAATATCTGGACTTCTTGATCAGCTGAATCAAGCTAAGTTCTATACAAAAATAGATCTTTGAGGAGCATACAATCTAGTATGCATCAAAGAAGGAGATGAATGGAAGACTGCGTTTCAAACTAGGTATGGATATTTTGAATACGATGTCATGCCTTTTGGACTTACAAATGCACCAGCAGCTTTTCAACATTTAATGAATAATATTTTTTGAGAGTTTTTGGACGATTTTGTGGTCTGTTATCTAGACGATATCTTGATTTATTCTAAGAATTCAAAAAAATATGAACTTCATGTTCGTCGTGTATTACAAAAATTAAGAGATGCACGACTCTATGTCAAGATAGAAAAGTGTGTATTCCACACTACTCAAGTCGATTTCTTAGGTTACATCATTTCAAATGATGGACTTATGATGGATCCTAAGAAAGTTCAAACTATTGTAGATTGGAAGATCCTGAAAACGGTAAAGGATGTTTAATATTTTTAGGACTTTGCCAACTACTATCAGATCTTCATCAAAGACTTCTCTCGAGTTGCAAATCCACTTACACATTTGACTTGTAAAGACAAACTCTAATGGAATCAAGAAGCAGAAGTTGTTTTTGAATCTTTAAAGACAACGTTTGTTTCTGCACCAATCTTGTATCAAGTTGATTTTTCCAAAGCATTCTTTATGGAAACAAATGCATCAGACTTTGCTTTGGGTGCGGTTTTATCAGAAATGGAAATAGATGACAAACTTCATCCAGTAGCCTTTCATTCAAGAAAATTCTCAGTAGCAAAAATCAATTATGAGATCTACGACAAAGAACTTCTTGCAATCGTGGATTCTTTTCAAGAATGGCATCATTATCTAGAAGGCACTTCCAGTCTAGTCACCGTGTATACGGATTACAAGAACCTCAAATATTTTATGTCAACACGTGTATTAAATCATCGTCAAGCTCGTTGGAGCATGTCTTTAACAAGATTCGAATTCATCATCACTTATCAGCCATGAAAATAACAAGGTTTGTTTGATGCCTTATCTAGACGTTCTTATCTTGCACCAAAAGAAGGAAATGCATCTTTTGAGCAACAAAGAACGGTTCTCTTGAAGCCGGAGCAATTTCATCTTCGAGCAATAAAATCAACATTGACAGTTGATTTAACTTTTTTTAAGTAAGTCCAGTTAAGTATGTCTTCAGATCCTCTTGTTCATGATATCAAGAATAATTCTTCTAAATCTCATGATTCCTCTAAATTTGAATTCAAGAACAACCTACTCTATTTCAAAGGGCGCCTATATGTTCGAGAAGGAGAAGCACGTTTACGTGTTCTTCAAGCTCATCAAGACTTTCCAATAGCAAGACATTTTGGATATAATAA